TTAATATCTGTTGAAAAAGCTATACACTGTCTAAAAGCAAAATTAGAAGACAATCCTGTAACAAAACACCTAATACACATGAGATGAGATAAACCAGAACTTACTCTGCCTGCAGTTTGAGTGTTTCATCAAAGACGTAAGGATGTTGTTTATCAAATAAGCTTTAATTAAACAGTCATATGCACGTAAAAACATAAATGTCTGTAACTGAGGTACTATCCTCTATAGAAGGCTGTGGAATCAGGTTGGGCAGCCAATCATCAGATGTTTGTTCCATCTTGGCAACAGATTCCAACACAGCGGGTCATTCAGCAGCAAGTGTTGTCAGACTCAGAAGTTTGGAGTCGTTCCCTTGTTTTGGAGAAAGCATCATTATTACCAGAACAAGCTGCAGTTATACCTGTGGTAGGAGAACTTTCGATTTTATTTATCATGTCACTGAATGTGTTTTGATTTTACCATTATATTTATTTCTTAATAATAGGTAGGCAAACAACAATTTATAAGCATAAGGAAAGGTTTTATTGATGATGGAGCATACTAAATCTTCTTCAAGTATTGTCAGTACTAAGCAATCCAAGGGTTATATATCATTACAAAGACAAGAGACACAGAGATTAAATGTCACAGAAATTATGTCAACAGGTGACAGGATATAGGTAGAGGCTAAATCTGATCAAGTCTATGAGTGGTGAATAGACCTTGCCAAATACTTGCTGATATTGCGAGGGCTATTATCACAGTTTAATGAGAGATCATTTGCTTTGATGATTTCTATAGTTTCTAAACAGTCTCTTTGTTTTTTAGTTTTGGGTTGGTATAGAAGAATTTCATTCCAAAGTATTTTGTGACCTGTTTCATATTGATGATATGTTAAGGCAGATATCTGGAATTCACTTCTAAGCATGTGACCTTGGTGTTCTTTGCATTTTATTTCTAAGGAATGTGACGTTTTTCCTATGTGTTTCTTTCCACATTCACATGGGATACTGTATATGCCCTGTTTTTGTTCTCTTGATAGGGATTCTTTTGAGTTAGGTAGTAAGATGCTAATTTAATGTAAAGGTTTGAGTACTGCTTAAATTATTAAAAAGTCTAGTAATTTTGTTAGCAACTTCTAGCACAAAGGGGAATGAAACAAATTTGTTAAGTTTATGTTGTTGATAGGTTAAAGGTTAGAGTTAACATAATATTTTTCACTGTTTTGAAGTTTGATACAAGCCCTATATATGATATTGGGGTTGAAACCTCTAGATAATGCTATGTTCTTTAGGTAGTTCAATTCAATAAGTAAGTCTTCTTTGTGTATGCAAATTTGTATCGCATGATTTACTTAGATGAAGTAGGAGGATATTTTCTGTGATAGGTGGTGATTAGATGTTATGTGTGGCAGCATGGATTTTCCTGTATATATTGTTAGTAACTATTACTCTCTCTCTTTTTCCATTCACATCTAAAAAGGGAAGACAACTGTTGGATTCCATTTCATGTGTAAAAATTATGTGTTTAAGAATTCAATGAAATTGAGTAGTGTCTCTTTCCTGTGTTGCCATATATTAAAAATATCATCTATGGATCTTAAAGAGATTTCATGTTTCTTGGTGTGTATTAACTTGTTTCCAAACAGTTCTTTTTCTAAAATGGACATGTAGAAGTCACTGAGTAGAGGGAAAAGGGGGAGTTCCATTGCTAATCCATTATTTCGTTTGTAAAACTGGCCTTTTTATGTAAAATAAGTGTTGTTTAAGCAGTATCCTGTGAGGTTGATAAGAAGAAAATAAAACCACAAAGCCATAACTAAAAGCTATATGTTATTTTTACTTTTTCTGTCTATGAAAAAAAGAAAAAGCCTACAGCTAGGACTAATAAGAAACCAGGATATATCAAAGAATCAATACGAGGAGATGTTGAAATCTCTGAAATTGTTTCCTCTTGTAAAAAGAAGAGTTGGGGGGGGGAGCCTGATTGAGGTGTTTAATATTGTAAAGGGAATTGATAGTGTTGATGCATCATCTTTTTCCATAATTGATACTGAGACTAGTAGGACTAGGGGACACAAATATAAATTTTAGCAGGGTAGGAGTCATCTTCAGCTTAGGCAGTCTTATATTTCTAATAGGGTGGTTAGCCTTTGAATGGGTTGCCTTCAAATGTTGTGTAGGCAGTAAATTTAAGTGGGTTTAAGAAAATGATAAGTGCAGGCTTTAAGTTTTTTTTATATTTATTTATTAATAGTTGGAACAGCCAAGATGGAGCAATAGGTCCCCAAAACATTATGATTATGATGACTTTCTGTTAATTTAACTTGATAAAAGGCACCATTTTACAAGCAGATTTTGTTGTGTGTAGACCACAACTAATTGATTGATTGATGGGCTCATTAATTGATTAAATTCAATTAATCGATTAGAACACAATGCTCCGTATAACCTGTATAAGCAAAAAACAATTTGGTATGTAGTACCATCATAACTTTTTTCAACCACTGTATTGTTCTCACATGGTATTAATTTTCCTGTTTTCTTTCTCATTGTTTTTGTGTAAGTAATATTTGAATTGCCCCTTATTTCATATGACAGTTCTCTTCTGAAGGTTACCATTTGGGCATTTTGCATAAAACATTTATTTTGAGTAGGATAAACATAATAATATTCGATGATGATTCAAGTCATCCGAATATTTTGCAATTGCCTTTTATCCTCACTAAATAGTAAATTTATCTGATTTGATAACAGTTTTATTTTATGACCATAATACAAAAAAACCCTCATGTTTACAAACACTTAAACTAAAAAAAACTGTGCTATGTCTATTAAAAATTAAAACATACCATAGTTTTAAACAAAGAACCAAACACCAACAAGATACCTTTATTAAGGTTTAAGCAATCTCCAGTCATGTGACTTTTTTTTGCTTCATACCGTATGTATATTCCTGTGTCTAGGTAAACTACTTGTATATGTTGGTGACAAAACCTTCACCAGACATTATACATTTATTACTGTGTTAAAATTTTAATATAGTTTTTTTTTGTTAGCCATTACCTACCTTACCTGAAGTTATTTGATGTCTTCTAATTGAAGAAAATTTCTGCAGCTTTCAAACAAATATAATTTAACACACAAATACTTTCATAATTCAGAGAAAAAGGAACTGAAAGGAACATTTAGAGAAACTATAAAAAAATCTTTCAGATACTTGATAGTTTAATTCTTGCTCTATCCAGTCATATTTAAACTTTGTATAGCTGTCGTAAAAGCTGTTTCATTAGTAAATAATAAACCACTTGATGTGGTAACATGGCAAGGTTTCAACTAAGATCTATACAAAAAGTAAGGGAAACACTTAAAAGTCAAGGATTGGATATTATATTTCTCAACGGATGATTGGTTCTTAGCAAAAAATAGTTATTCTTTGGAATGGGCAGAAAAACTCCAGAAGAATCAACTTTAAGCGGGGTTGTTTTATTTACAAGCAGCTGCTTAGAAATGCAAATATAAACTTTTTTTTTCCATGAATTACACCAAAAAATATGTCATAAAATTACAAAATATCAATTCTAAAACAATTTTGAGTTGTAATTGTTTAAATGGAGTTAGAAACATATAAAACTGTCTTAAAAACTTAAAGAAATCTTTTTTTTTCCTATACACAAACTTAGGACTATGTTAGCTTGTTTATTCTAAACTGTTGTACATGAAAATGTATAATACATGCAATGTAGCACAAAACCTTTAACAACCTGAAAATATGACTGATAGTTTCATAGATTTCCCTATACAAATTACCCTTAAAACATCACCAATACAATAAATAATAAAAACTTGACTAGTTTCAACTGTAGAACTTCATCATGTGTAAATTAGTTGAATAATTTTATCGTTAGAAATAAAATTATTTTTCAAAACACATGCTAAACTAAATACATGATATTTGGTCGTATTTTATATTTGTTCATAAAAGAATAAAATAGAGAAATGTCAAATTTAATAGACCAATCAAATAAAAACTCTGGTATTTAATATTTTTTTTATTAATTTTTGAAAACAATGTAGATGGTTTCAGCCCCCTCCCCACACACACACGAGATGTGTGCCTATTTATCCAACATTAAATTAAAAAGTTAGTAAATCTTTAAACGTAATAGAGGTAGGAGACCCACAGTCCACCTAGATATGCTCCTACTTATACAATATTAAAACATTGCTATTACTTTCTTAGAAGAATTATAAATTAGAAACATATCACAGTGTAAAAAAAAGTAAGTTTTCACTTTAGTTAACACTTAACCCATTGACTGTTAATTTGCCGTGTGGGGTACAGTCCGCCTCTGGCAATTGAATGTGAGTGTGCTTGTATACAGTGTACGGCTCACAAAAGCTGCAGTCAAAGGTTTAAGTAGCCGGATAATTGGTGGTTGGTGCTTTCATCCAGTTGCCTTTCCTGCAGTTAATAATTAGTGACAGTAGCAGATATCCTTAATAGCTTTGCAGTAACAAAGACAGTACGAGTAAATTTAGTTACAATGGGAATCTAACTTGAGATCCTCAAGTCATCCTTCCCTATCCTCCCATTATGTAGTTTTGTGCTATTATTTCTGTTGTTTATTTTTGTGACAATCAATTTAATCATAATTGTGATTAGTTGATTATTGGAATAATCAAAAACACTAATAATTGGAAACTTATTTTAATTAATTGATTATTTTTGTGATATTAATTGATTGATCATAATTTTGATTAATCAATTAGTTAATGATACTTTAGTTGATCTAGTTGCTATTCATAGGAAATTGATTAAATTGTCCAGTATAGTGTAGACTGAAGTTGGTGCTGTGGTAAATAATGAAAATTTCTTTTAACCTATTTATAGATTAGTGTGGAAGCCAAGTAAATTAGTCGTTTTTGGATATTTTATTTTACTGTTTGAATTATTGTTTGTGTTTTGAAATGCATATTTAAAAGCCACATGAATTATTTTTTACACAGCCAACATAGTATGAAAAAAAGTAGTTATATTGAAGTACATTGTCAAATACAAATATGCCTATAACAACTGTAAGTGGAAAATTTCTTATTTTTATGTATATTTTGCTTTTATTGATACATATATTTTTAACGAAAGTAACTGAAATGTAAAAATTGAATATTTTTAGGTTAGATTAGAAAACTTAAGTAAAAAAAAAAAATTTTTGTCATTACTTTTGGGGCAACACAGGAGCAGTTAGATTTAATCTGATCTGCTAGTTTACTCTGCTATACCACCTTCTGATTTACTGCTGTCATGGTAGTTAGACACAGTTCAAAGAACAATAAAATTAAATGAAATCAATTGTGAAAAATTCTTAAGATAAATAATTGTCTGCCACAATCTGAAGTAATTATAGTAAAAAAAGTATTTTGATTTTGTTTTACATTTTTCAATTTTTGGTCAGATAATTTTGTTACAGTTAGTGTTAAGGTAGAGAAAATAAAAGAATGTTTTAGCAAAAAAAAACTTTTGATATTCATTTTGGCAGTTCTTGAGGTTATGCTAATGTAATATAAAGCTGTAAGAGGAAAAAAATTATTTTCCTTGTTAACATGAAAATCATTTGGTGCTGAGATGGGACCCAGTTTGAGTCAGACGGACGTGGTAAATTCATGGACAAACCTTTAGTAAAAATACTTTATTAAAAATTCTGATAGTTGTTTTTTTGTGTGTGTGTGTGTGTGTGTACAACATACTTGTAATATTTACTAAAAGCTGACCATAGTGAATTCTGAATTACAGTAAACATTAAATTTCCAATATGGACTCAGTCCAATAAACCAACCCTTTTCATATAGGGTTAAAACTTGTTCAGTATGTATTATGTAATAAGTCTGTCTTATAATTTTTTCAAGTGATTAAATTTAAAATGTCTGGGAATAGTTTTTTGTTCTGTGACACTAAAAATGTTTCAACTGAAAAAGGCTAAAAATTTGTAATATTTTTCTCTCCTTTAGTTCAATTTTGTAAGAGCACATGAGTGTTTCACTCATAAGAATCACACTTGTCTTGTGTTTGAAATGTTGGAACAAAACTTGTATGACTTCCTGAAACAGAACAAATTCAGCCCTCTTCCTCTGAAGTACATCCGTCCCATCCTACAACAAGTGCTCACTGCTTTATTGAAGCTAAAGGTAAAACCAGAACTTGCTATTTTTTTATCTGTCTTACCACAAGTAATCATTACTGTTTTTCAAGTTAGTGTTGCTTGTGTATTTGAAGTAAAATTTTTCAGTAGTGTAACTACAATGCTCCAAAACTTAATTTGTGCTTTTTAAAAGTTGAAGAGAGAGAACATTGGCAATTATTGTCATATAAAATGAAAATTTGGAGAAGAATTGTACTGTTGTGCAAAATATGCTCAAGATCTTTTATTTCCTGTTTCTTAGCAACTTGGGCTAATTCATGCTGACCTGAAACCAGAAAATATCATGTTGGTAGACCCTATACGTCATCCCTTCAGAGTAAAGGTGATTGACTTTGGATCAGCTAGTCATGTTTCCAAGGCCGTGTGTTCTACTTATCTTCAGTCAAGATATTACAGGTGTTATACATAAATACATTATTTTTCTTTTATATTCATTGTCCTCACTTTTATGGGCTTTGAAATACTTTTAGTGTTGTGCGTGTGATAAACATTTTACCTAGTGTTCATTCATGGTTCTCTCATGTTTTATGTATGACAGAATATGTTTAGTTTACTAAAAGTTTTAATTTTGAATTGCACTTAACAATTACTCAAGGAATTTTAAAGTGTTGGGGATGAATGAAGCTTTCATGGACTTGTAAATGGAAGATTGATAAGATCTCACTTTATACCAGTAGGATTTATTTCATTAACTGTTTAAACTGTATATTTTTCTCTGTGTAATTTTTAAATTTAAAACATGCTTACTAGTGTTCTATAACCTTTTTGTGCATTCAGAGCTCCCGAAATTATTCTTGGCTTACCATTCTGTGAAGCTATTGATATGTGGTCCCTGGGCTGTGTGATGGCTGAACTTTTCTTGGGGTGGCCCTTGTATCCTGGGTCTTCTGAGTATGATCAGGTAATTTCTTGTATAACATGTATGTTTACCATAATCAAGAATCAACTGTTTCTACTAAAGATGTTTCTTGTACTAACAGAATTGTTTTGATGGTGGGTACTGCATTTTGTGCTCAAAATGTATTATCAAAATAATTTAAAGCTGGTATTTATTGGTATTGGTTATAAAATCTGTAAAGTAAAAATAGACATGTTATTTTATTGCATATTGCTTTTTTAGAAGAGAAAGTACTTGTTACTAGATTAGATAAGTCAGCCTTATTAGGAAGTAAACTTAAAGGTTGATCCAAATATATAATTCAGACTAGTAAAACATACTCTGAATACACACACACACACACACATATATATATTTATTTATTTATTTTTGACAAACATAACAATTACTTGGATAAGGTTTCCTCTAGATATATCAACCAAACCTGATTATACACAATGTTTCGTCCAGGTGTATCAGTAAAATTGTTAAACATGAATCACAATAAATATGGTAATAATTCTTATAAAATCTCTTTATGTTCTTATACAGGTTTCTAGTAAGAAGAATATAGTAGACTTTCAACTGTGCATCCTACAAACTGCTGTTGATGAGGCCCTTAGCTCAATATCAGAGCACATCAGTTTGGTTGGCTTTACAAGCCTCTGTCAAAATGCCAGAGGTATATAATACTTATGTTGGTAAACTTATGAGCTGTAGATTAATAGTTTGTGATATTACAACACAGTAAGACATATGATCATTTTTGTTAAAGCTGTCTTTGCTGGTCTTATACATTGCTATACCATAAGAATTAATATTGCTTACAAAATTAATGATATAAATAGCATTTTGTCTGAGATTTTGTACTTTGTAAACCCAGCTGACCAGGTGAATTTTGATATTGAAAGATGGTCTTGTCAACAGAGGCAACACACTAATTGAACAGTTGAAAACTTAAAATCCTATTAAATATTTTTACTAAACACCTGTATAGAGCTGTAAAGAGAGATTTGATAAATATTATTATCAGTGATATTGTAATGTAATATCACACAAATTACAAACCTACAAATTATGCTTTGCCAGCATTGGCAATATATACAGGGGTGTAGGAAAAAAAATATGTGAAAGAAATGCTACTGTTGGAGGAAAAAAGAAATGAGTGATAAAGTCGTACTGATGGAGTTTGGAACATGATCCATTGGGAAAACTGTGATTTTCACTGAAAAAGGTGCATTTTGATGGTATGTGAGGCTGGTGTTACACCTTTTAAGTGTGTTGTATATATGTATATATACACACAGGTGCAATGATCTCTGGCCTACATGCATGAAATACCATAAGCATTGATAAACACAGTGTATATCATTTACACCAAAAGGGCATATTTTCAGTAACATTTATGCCCTATATACCAGTCAGCCTAGAGGAATAATTTTTAAACATCTGTTTTTGAGATACAGTTTATAAGCCAAAGCTAAAGACCACTAAGAGAAGTCTTAATTTTATACTTTGGTATTAAGAAAAAATATATTATTGAGGTAAAGCACTGCTAGTAGAATTCATGCTTAATAGCTTTTTTTGTGTGTATGTTTGTTTGTTTGTTCTAGATAAGATATATCAGCCAGACCCAAGGACTGCCAGCAGAACATATGTTGAACAGTGCCACAAAAACAACTCGTTTCTTCTACAGAGAAACAGATAGCAACTATCCATTCTGGAGGCTGAAGGTAATGTGGTATAGAAATTAATGTTCAGTAGGGAGCAACCTTTTATTCTAGTAAAAGATAAAGTGCTTTCCCAAGAAATTAGATAATTTTTTTTTAATAATGACCATATACCTTAGATCAGCGTTTCTCAAACTTTTTTTAGCCATGGAACACTTTTCAGCTGAGAAAAAGCTTACAGAACATTAGACACATGAAATATCGGTGTAGAAGGTATGTTACACTTGCAGCACCCTCTAGATTTGTATATTATTTATTTAATCAGATTACATATTAATGAATTTTTACATTTTTATGCTTATAATATATTTTAGGTACAAACCTTTCCACCAAGATATTATGTAGAATAGATATGACATCTTCTATAATTCTTCTTCAATGTGAAATCGATATTATCTCATTCTAATACATAGGAAAATATTTCATAATAAGTTATGATCGTACAAAAAGTGTTAAATAATTTATTAAAATTTAAAATCATAATTTTCTCGTGGAGCACCTATCAACTTTGGACGGAACACCATGGTTCTGCGGAACATAGTTTGGGAAATGCTGCTTTAGACAATTGAAAGTAAAGAGGTACACATGGTGGTGAGTGCATGGGACATAATCTATGGTAGCTAAACATTTCTAACCTAGTGACACTATATTACCATTTCTGTATTTGCATATATTAAGATAAATATTTAACTTATTAACATCATGACATCTGAAACAAACATTCCGATACAATATCTTACTTCCTCTCACAAATTAGCTTTTCTCGACTAGCACTGCCCTCTATTGGCACAAATTTACTATTTACTTATGTTTTGGTATTGTGAAAGGTAGCTTTTTTTTTTCAAACTATTTTCTTACTTTTTCAGTGGCTTTTTGCTAGTTTATTGTGGATCCCACTCTGTGGCAAGTGGTGCCTGACCAGATATCCTTTTTTTTCTTTTTGAAAATCAGCACTATCCATCCTGTGACCATGCTCAATGTTAATCATGTTGTAGCCCTTCTTACCTTGGACCTGATGTACAATTCCAGATCACCTGGTTGTGTGCCTTTATTTTATTTTTATCTATGACTAAACAATTATATTGCAGCTGTGGGTTATGCACACCATAGCGATGGAGTGTTTCATAGGACTGCTTCATAAATATGTTCATTTCAGACTATACACTTGTGGACTAACATGAGTAAAGCAGACTGAAATTGCTACCCATCTCTGTTGCTCCATGGCATTGAGACTCTTCCTACTGCAGATTTGATGTAGAATTCCAGATGCCACCAGGTTTTGGTTGACCAACTCTGTCGATGTGGTAGCTCTGCTTTTCAAAATAGGATATTGAGGTCACCTATTGCACTATCTGTAGTGATGCAGTCCTCCAGACTCTCCAATACATTTTTCCCCCTTCTATGGAGGTTTGTCCTTCTGAATGATACATCATACCACACAGTTGGGAGATTGATGGTGCCATTTTGCAGGTGTTTCTAGTATACCTGGATCAGCACTTTCTTTTTTTTTCATCGGCCCTCCACCAGCTGAGTGGGGATTCTAGCTATTTTGTGAGAGGAGGTGAAATATCATATTGGAAGTTAGCATTTTCCTTCTACAAAAGGTATTTCTGATAGATACTTACCTCCTGTCACACTTCCCACCCAGCCTTCCCACTTGCGATGATATGTGGTGTAGGTCTTCTGGCCAATCTCGAAGTGATTAATGAGTGCAGATGTGAAGAGGGTGCTGGTTATGATAGGAGTGGTGTCAAGCTCCTATTGGTGGAGAGCTGCTGCATGATTGTTTGCATGTGGATATGCAGAAGTGGGAGTTGAAGGCTAGTGGCGTGCATTGAAAATTTGTGCCAATAGAGGGCAGTGCTAGTTGAGTAAAGTTATTTTGTGATAGGAGGTAAGCATCTATAGGAAATACACTTTCACTGTAGGAAAATGCTAACCTTCAAACATAAAGCAGAATAATCATTGAATTCCTTTGAACATAAATTAGATTTTTTTGGCAAATAACAATTTATAATGAAATAAAAACCATTAAGTGAATAGCTAGCTACATATTATGCTATTATACAGTGCACCTATACCATTGACCTGAGTCCAGGTTTTGTATGTGCTTATTACCAGTAATAGTATCACAGGCCTAATAATGTCCTTGCTGACTGACTGTTATAAATAATTTTATGAAATATATTTTATTAAAACTAGTATAAAAAAGATAATATTTATCTTGCTCCATCTTATTTATTAAAAGTTAACACCATAAAACTTCATGGTTTTAAATTACCAGCAGGACTTTTTATAAAATGTACAGCAATGCCAAAATAATTGTCAACAAACAAGCATGGGAACCAATAACAAGGCATGTACTCAAGAAAAATTTCTGATCAAAGGAATAGAAACTTACAATCCATATAAGGAAGAAATCTGAAACAAGTACACTATTAAAAAGAAAATAATTTTATCTCTCTAAAGATATATATTTATGGTTTTATTAGTTTGAGAAGCTTGGAAATTGTAAAACAAAATATGCAGGTAAATGAATTTGACACCATCAACTTCAAACACTCATCTTCAACCTATTTCAGCTAGAAATAAGCAACAACTATATATAAAGACTGGGGTTTGCATCTGTGTTTTGTATGTTGGCAATTTTCATCTATGCATATGTTGTGAATATGATGACTAAAGATGTTACAGTAACACCAGACCCGTGAAAAATTTGTGGATTCTCATCATCAAGGCTGAGCTGCCCATTGTCTTTTAACCTCTTTAAATAAGCATACTTCCTCACTAGAAACCAGAATAAGAGATGTATTAGAAAGTATGTACAGTAGTGCCAAAAGCAGTAGGTCTGTACTTGTCATAGAAGAATTAGCATTATACTTAAAGGAAAATTCTGTGGAGGTAATTGTTTATTGAAATCAAAATTAAAGATGAGAAGTATGTCTACCTTATTTTGTTTATACCACTATTTCTTCTTATTATTAATAGAAAATTTCTTGAGTATAAATAAAAATCTTATTACTAAGCTATCTTGAAATATTTTCCATTTTAACAAAAAATAACTATAGTAGGCCTATAGTACATTTGTGTTTGGTTAAGTGAACCCAAATAGGCAAGTGTAAAGGAAGTATAAAAACAAATGTTAGATAGATAAACAGTTTCAAGTTAATCTTGTTTAACTTAAGCACTGACATAAGTATGTTCAAAAACTATGCTTTTAGTTTGAGAATTTGATTTTACTGCTTCTATGTAGTGAAACACTGAATTGTTAAACCAGACAAATATTGCCTGGTATACACATATAATTAATTAATGATTAACAACTAACCTAAAGATTGACTCATTTAATGATGTTATTGGTATGAGAAATATAACTATTAACTCTTTCAGCACGGGCTCGGTCCCGGGACTGACCTCGTAATCATTTTGTGCTTGTTATTACAATGCTTTCATATGCAAAATATCAATGGTGACGATTCAAGTTAAGAATTTTGTAAATGATGATACAAACTTCAGGGACGTAATTCTGAAATTTTAATGTGATGTTGAACCAGCTTTGCACTTATTGTTTAGACTGTGAAGTCGAAGTTGTAACACATTTATGATTTAGTGTATAGCAAAATAAATATATTGGAAACTTATGTCAAATGAAGAGTATTTAACTAGTGAGACACGCTGTTTAAATATTTTATTGCTTTAGTTACTAAAATAATAAAATATAAATGTTATAGATTCCTGAAGAGCATGAAGCAGAGACAAATATTAAGTCCAAAGAAGCTAGAAAGTACATATTCAACTGTCTTGATGACATGGCACAAGTAAGTAGCACAAGTTTCTGTTGAGATAATAAAAAAAGTGTATCATGCAAATAATGATAAATATAAATGTTTCAAAATGCTGTGTAAAAGAATTATTAAACTTCAACCAATACAGTGGAAATCCCTTATAGGCAATGCTAAAAGCCAATTATGATTAAAGTTTCATCACCTAGGTAAGTTTCTTTATTAGCACTAAATGTAATTTAAAAGTCAATACAATTTAAATTTGTTGAGTTTCTTACTATTTAGTGGGATACAGCTAAGAAGATGATTTTATGTTTGTGTTTGATTTCACTAAACTGAACATTTTTCTGAAGGTAAATGTGCCTACTGACTTAGAAGGTGGAGAATTGCTAGCTGAGAAGGCAGATAGGCGGGAGTTTATTGACCTTCTAAAAAGGATGTTAACCTTAGACCAAGAGCGAAGGTTTACTCCTGGTGAAGCTCTGAATCATAATTTTGTATCTCTCAACCACCTTATTGATTATGCACATTGTAATAAGTAAGCATCAGTTTAGGAAGAATGTTACAATTTTCCTTAGACACACTGGACTATTAGTTTAAGTGTGTAGTTAAATGATTACTTCTGAGATCTTGTTGTTTAATAAAAAAACTACAATAATTATTTTAATAGTTGCAGCATTCATTTAGTCAGAGAATAACATGAACTCTTGTAATGTTTCCATTTGAGTTTTTAGCCTTGTTTTTTAATTGTTATAAAATGAGATAAACATATTCTAATATTATTGTTAAATGTGTATTATTAACATTGATTACAGTGTGAAAGCTTCAATTCAAACGATGGAGATGTTTCGCAGAAAAAGACATACATACGATCAAAATAGAAATCAGGTTTCAGTTGTGAACAATTTTAGCTCTTCTTCGAATAACGTGGCTCTCACTTTCAACAACCTGCAGAACCAGGTAAGTTATAGGCTTTAAAGTTTTAGTTCTTCCAGCAAGCTACTCACAACCAGCAGACTGACCTACAGAACCTTGTAGGTTTCATCCTCTACAATGGTAATTTAAAAGCTTGGGTCTTTATCAAGAAATAATCACAATTTATGAAATCATATCATATTGTTGATTTCAAAAATATCTGTTAAATTATGAAACTGTATTTTTTTTAATATCTATATTTGATTTCTAAACAAAATAATTTGGTGCATATTAATTAACACCACACATTTAAAGAAAGTAGTGAATAAAGCTATCGGGAACAATTTTGAAAGTTGATGAAGAGCTTTGCTGATGGTAGCAGACCTCAATTGTTCATGATTGTGATATAGAGTTTCTTAATTTAAAATTGAATGAGACCATTATCTATGATGTGTGAAGTTGTATTTTTATCACTGATTTATCCTGTTGGAACTAATATAACTTAAACAAATACAAAATACATTTTATGACAAAATGCTTTACATTTTATTAAAAATGGGAAACTTTTTTTTCTGAATTGAAGAAGCTGTTTATAAGTAATTTTCACTATCCAGGTAATAGACTCGTAAATATTCTTTTTCATATAATATTAATTATTAAAAATGGGTATGCTTTAATAGGAGCTAGCTTTCAACTCTCTTCATGAATCATGTTTAGACTGTTAAAAATATTTAATATATCTGTTTTTAAATATTGTGTATCAACTACACCTTTGTTAAATAGGATAACATTTTAAAATCCTTTTCTTATGTTAACTTCTAATGTAATAATTATTTTCATTTCTGTAATCTTTAATCAACATGTTCTGTTTAGTACCAGCTTCAGACTGCAAGTTTCTACCAACCTGCTTACCAGGTGGCACAGCCTCAGAGGGTTAACATTTCTCAGCAACAGTCACAAGCTCGAGTTAATGGACCAAGACATCAGTATGCTGTTCAAGCTGCAGATCCTTTTCATCAAGCTTCTCAGTCTTTATGTGTTTCATCTTTATTATGCCCTCCATATCGAGGTACTGTTGGATTGTAACTTTATAGGATACCTATGAAATGATACAGCTTTGTATTGTTTCTACAAGAGTTCAAAATTTAGCCCTATCCCTGTTGTGTGCATCACATGTGATTCACAGGACATAATGCTAAAGTGCCTGAGTATCATATGTCATACCTAACTACATTTATTTGATGTGCATCTGATGTTCATGGATAGATTGTTTTGGTTCAACATTTGAGATAAGATGAGAGCTTCATATGAGCATCACATGTGATGCTCAAAATGCATGTGAATGATGATAGGTTAGATTACTTTCACTCAAGAGACCTAGGATAAATACAATAAATTTCTTTTATTAATTCTTTATATTTTCATTACCCATTACACTAATTTTCCAATAAATGAACAATGTTTATATAAAAAAAAAGGTTTTATGGAATATCAACAGTAAAAGAAATGACTAAAACAGGGAAAGGGTTAAAACTTTGAAGTTGACAATAAAGATCTTGAATTATATCAGCTTGTTGAAACTCTTTATAAACATAGAATATATATATGATCTATGATTAGTTTTATTATTAGAATGTTAAGTGAACCATTATCTTATGTTTAAGAAAATGTATAATTTGGCACCATGATGTTCTTTAGTGTAGTAAATTTTGCTTTTAAAAGTATAGTTTTCAAATGTTGTGTTTAATATATCAGTAAGTTTAATAACTTTCCATTTTGTAACTTGAACATTTTCTGAGTGGTTAGATTTTCAGTAAAAGAAAACTTGATGTATGTTTTTTTTCAGGGTTAAACTCTCCAGCGAAGCACATGGTACCAATGGTTGCTCAGGCTGCCCAGGCTTTACAGATTCAACCCTCTCTGCTCACACAGGTTAAGTATAGTTTTTTTTTAAAATAGGTATGCCAGTAATCTTATAAAAATGATTTATTATTCATTACAAAAACGTGTGATCAGTAATATATAGAAACTTTAATTATTTAACAATTTCAAACAATCTTTATTCAGTAAACAAGTTGTAGAAAAATATAGACACAATTCTAAAGCCTTATGAATGGCTTCTTTGATATTAAATGACTGGATGATGTTTTAAACAACTATAATATTGTTATTTAAACAGAAAACAAGATAGAAGAACACTTGCATTCTTATATTTTAATATACATATTTATCAACTTCTTTTTGAGGCTACTTTTGTATCTTAATCATGGTATGATTTCTATATTGTTGCACAATTTTTAAAATATATCTTATACTGAAAGGAACCTCAATTACCGTAAAATAGTAATGATGACTGTGATTTTGTACTGTATTCTTAGGTGGGCACCCAACAGTACGTGCCTGTGTCTGTGGTTGAGCAGAATGGAAGGCAGATGCTTCTAACTGTAAGTTTTACTTGTGTTTTTCAGTTCTTTTATGAAAATAGATAAGTTAGAAAAATATGTAAGATATGGTTTGAAACAGCTAATCAGGAACTTTTATCATCAGTGTTTTAGTCATTGCTGAGATCCGATTACTACAGTTGAAACCCATCGTGTACATCTAGGTATGTTTTAGGGTTGTAAGTTTGTCTGTTGAAAAAGACATGGAAAAGTTATTTCTAGTATGATATTTCATTTCAGTTATTTTATTACAGTTTAGGGCAACCCCTCCATCCCAAGTACCATTCTAGTAACCCTTTCCAATAACGTAATGTCTTTCCTAAGATAAGGAGCTCAAGACTGAACACAGTACTCCAAATATGGCCTAACAAGTGATCTATACAATAAAATTATAACCTCTTTAGACTTTTATTCAATATTTCTATAGATACAACGTAAAATCCTATTTACCCTACGACTAGCAACAGCACCCTGCTTGGATGGCTTTAGAGACTGACCAACTATTACACCAAGATCCCTTTCTTTCATAACACTGTTAAGGTTATTCCCCCAATATTTGTGTATTGTATATAAGTCTAGGAATTCAAAATTTCAGTTTGCTTCATTTCATTGAAATTTTCAAATTATATACTTAAAAAATACTGTTGTTTTGAAGGAAAATAAGTAAGATTTAATATTTCTGTTTTACAGTGGAGCTTGGGAATGCTTGAAAAAGTGCACTTCCTAAAATCACATAAAGATACTGGAAACTCTGTGTATGTTGCATCAAAGAAAAGAAGAATAGATGACCTGATCTGGTGAGATAAGGTTTTGTTGTTTTATCTTTTTATTGAGATTGCTATTTTTTTGGTAATTCTTTTGTTGTTTATAACCAGAAATTAGACAAATAGTTTAAGTGTAGTGTTGAAAGTGATTATTGTTCTTTATTATCATTGGTTCGCTGAAAAATATAACTTTGTAACTGAATTTGTATGGTTTTGCACATCTTTTAGGTCATATAAGAATTCATTCGTTGATGTGTGTGAATGAAATAATTATTTTACTTTATCTGTTCTACTTATTTATTCAGTTGTTTTTGCTTAAAGCTTTCATTGGGTCTTCATTTAGCTACAGGTAATATGTTTCGGTAGATAATTGACTATTAAAATGAGATGTTCTTGTGTTTTTTGTTAGTATTTGTGAATATATATTCACAGTATTTTGTTGGATTTTTGTTTTTAGTATTGAGTACGGGAATCCAAATCAAGTTAGTGATGTTACTTCAACAAGTGGACTTTTGGCTGAGCCTAATGCAATTGGAGTAAATATTGTGGGTGACCAGAACCAGAGCACTAGTGTAAATTCATGCATTGTGCCTTCCATAAATAACCACTATGGTTGTCGACAGACCGCCAAGAATGGGGCACTGGCTGCATCCCATGGAGCACAACAAAACTTTGTTCGTGCTTCAGCAATCAAACTGCTGCACACTTATCAGGTAGCAACCATCACCAAGGTTATTAGGTTTTAGTGTAATAAAACATCACCATAGTTACTATATTTTGATGTAACGAGGTGTTAGATTCTACCTAATATTAGTAAGATATTATCCAAGTCACTGGTTTGTATTGTGACAAAACATCACCATAGTTACTATATTTTGATGTAACGAGATATTTTGCTACAGGTGTTAGATTCTAGCTAATATTAGTAAGATATTATCCAAGCCACTGGTTTGTATTGTAACAAAACATCATTATAGTAATTAAGTTTTAGTGTAATAAAACATCACCATAGTTACTATATTTTGATGTAACGAGGTGTTAGATTCTAGCTAATATTAGTAAGATATTATCCAAGCGACTGGTTTGTATTGTAACAAAACATCACCATAGTTACTATATTTTGATGTAACGAGATATTTTGCTATAGGTGTTAGATTCTAGCTAATATTAATAAGATATTATCCAAGCCACTGGTTTGTATTGTAACGAAACATCATTATAGTAATTAGGTTTTTATTTTAGTATAAAAACAACAAACCTTTATATGAGTGAAATCATTTGAAAATGTTACTAAAATAAAACTTCTAGAATCCACCTGATAGTGAAAAGCTTAAAATGGAGTTGGTGTAATTCAGACCCTTCTGGTTTTAAGTATACTAACTAATTAATAGACCTCAAAAGTATAATCTTAGACTAAAATTAACAATATTGTTTTTATAATACTGTCTGTTTGTTTGAAATTTTAAGATTCAAAAAAAAAATTAAAACTCTTCAAACATTAAGCATTTTCATAAATCTACATAGAAATCAATAACTTCTTGGTATGTTCTTGGTTGTTAGATTAAGTTAATAGAATTTCTAACCTTATAAGTATGAACACCAGACACATTCTTTTTGTTATACATTTACAAGTAGAGGTAGGGAGAATTTCCACCCCATTTGGAGTGTATCACATTTTTTCTTCTTTAGAAAACAAAATTGACTTTCAATGAGGTTTTATTAAATCAAGTGAATAATTAGCTCACTTGTGATATAAAATGTGTTTTTGAATTTCCATTTCCTTAATTATTTTTGAAATAATGCAAGTGCAGATTAAGTAATTTTAAAATATACAACATTGAAAATAACTTAATGTAATTTAAATGGCAAAGCTTGCTTGAAATAATTTAAAAATTAAATGGTAAAAATAATCCAAATTCTTTATTTTAAGTAAGTTCTAAATCTAGAATAACTGATAATTTTTGTAACATTTTGCAGTAAACACAGATTAACTAAATATTCTTACTTTAACTGTATGTATGTATGTTCATTACATTTTTCTTTAGTACATCCATGGATATGTTACATCACATTTGTATGCTTTTTTTTTATTGATGCTTAGCAGCGGAATGGTTTGAAACGTAAGTCAGATGAGCTTGATGATGTGTCAGATTTACAACAATGTGTGTTACAGCCCTATCAAGCCAAACAAGTAGAAGACAGAATTACAAATCATCGTCATCAGGTGCATCCTAACAGCCATCATAAAAGTGCATCCACTGCCACAGTACCAACAACAACCTCAACAAATAAATTCACAATAGCAAATTCAACTATCACCACGGCGCCTGCAACATCAAAAAACAGCTCCTCGACTAGCGAGGGGGATTACCAGCTTGTACAACATGAGGTTTTATATTCAGCCACAAATCAGTATGAAGTGCTGGAGTTTTTGGGAAGAGGAACCTTTGGTCAGGTAAACTAGTTATTTGAGTATATAACTTAAATATTTTTAGACCACAATGTGCAATGAAGTATCACTGTAAACTTCTAACATTGTTCAAAATAGGAGACTTATAAAAAGTTTTTGAAAGGGTTAAAGTTAGCTTATTAATTTTCAGGTGGTTAAATGCTGGAAGAAAGGGACCAATGAGATTGTAGCCATTAAGATTCTAAAGAACCATCCTTCCTATGCACGCCAAGGTCAGATTGAAGTGAGCATTCTACACAGATTAAGCCAGGAGAGTGCAGAAGAAGTATGAAAATAAATTTTAGTTGATAGTTAAAACTGTGCAAATATCTTCTATTTGAATCAGTAAAATTGATAGTTAGGTAAAAAGGATTTTCCAATGTAGCACATGTAATACTTTTTCAGTGTGATGTATAAATATATTTCAGTAAACATCATCAGGAATGTGTGAGTAAAAAGCAACCTGTACTTTTCCAGGATGCTATAGTTATTACTTTCCAGTACATTGTGTAACCTGTACTTTTCCAGGATGCTATAGTTATTATTTTCCAGTACATTGTCTTAACACTTTCCTACTATGATGCATATAGTACATTTTTAAAGTAATGTGGCTAACACTCTTCTGTTATGATATTTCTCATACTTCTCTGTTTATATAAAGTGTGTAGTACTTTTTTGCTAATAAAATATCCAATAGTTATCCATAATAATGTACCTAATACTTCTGCATTATTATATATATAATACTTTTCCACTATAATATATTTAGCACTTTTATTCTGCAGTGTACTTAACACTATTTCATTTACATCTTTGATAATACTTTTTTCTGCAATGATTTTTATATTTTGATGTCTAGTACTTTTGTCCTGCATAATATATTTCATTTGTTTTTATATGATTTATCTAACATTTTCAAGAATGATGTGTGTAGCATTTCTTCGCTTTGTTGTATTTAACCATACGTGTACAGCAGGGAGGTGAATATGTATATGCAATGACATTTTTGCAGTTACATTATAAACTTAATTAAACAATATTATCAACATATGTAAATAAAATGGGCATCAAAACATAGTTGATAATTCAAATTTTAATCTTATATAAATTTTCTTAATTTCAAAGGGGAGTATTTAAATATATTCGATCTTTACTTCTGTGTGCCACTTGATGTATCTGTGCTCTGAATTCTCCTTTTTAATTATTCTTTCTTTTCTTATTGGAGTTTTAGAATGATCACCAAAGAGATACACCAACTATAGATATTGATAAACCATAACTTAAAATAAGAACCTCCCACCTTCTTTATTTTGTGAAATATCCAGTAAATTTGTTACACCCATCACAGTAGCTTCTCCTGAATCTTCATACTTTTGAAATCACTTATTTGCTAATGCCTACTGTCAATTGTACAAACTTATAACTAATAGGAAAGCCATTTTGTGAACATGATTTTCAAACGATGGAAAATATTTTTGATCATAAAATCAAAATTACTTTGCATGTTGGGATAGTCAGCATTCTGTAAGAAAAAAATTCACTAGCAAATCTGTAATTAATTCATCTTAACACTTAATTGAAAACCTGATATTTTATGAAGTGCTCCTGATAAGGGGTGCACTAGCATAATTCCCAACCAAAAATCAGCTATTTATGGTCTAAAAAATATTGAGATGTTGTTTTACTGCTGTGGAAAAACGAGTGTGGTGTACTGTAATTAATGGGTGCATTCTTGTAGCTTTCTGAAGTTCTGCACAAGATATGTGCAGTTCACACAGTAGAGCTGTAAAAATAAGTGCTCTCTAAGTGTCAGAAGTTTCTACTGAATGATCCAATCTTGTGTTAAAAAAAACAGTTGTAATGCCATTATTTGTGCTTATTATCACTATATCTGGTGATTTAATTTGCTAAATTAATTCTGTGCCAAATTTAACGTTTTCAAAATACTTAAATAATTCATAATTATTTAAATTACTTTTTATCACAAAATGTTAATGCTGCTCTTTGTAAAAAAAAAAATAAATTAAATTACTCCCAACTACAGAATTCTGGGAGTGAATACTCCTTACAGAAAAACATTATCTGGAGCACTGATTTTATGTACAAAAGCCTTGTAATGTTTGCTGGTAGATTGCAAAATTTCATGAAGATGTGCTTACATTATCACTGAGTTGGCCAAATAAATGGAAAATTGGTTTTAATTATAGTAAATGCAAGATAATGCATTTGGGATTATCATAATTTGAATTATAAGTATAATTTAGATGTAAATAACAGAAAATTGTTTGAAATTTTTTAATATATTCCTTTTCTACATGAAGCCACAAAGCCTATAAAGCAACATGTAATTCCAGAAACATGGTAGTTCCTGTTCTTCATACTACAACAGGAACATCCAAGATTGTCCTTCTGATTCACTAGTGAGTCACACCAACTAAAGATGTTTTCTGATTAAGTCTCAAGTTATGTGGTACTCCTGATAGGTCTAAAGTTAAGAAATAGTCTTGTTTTATAGGTAAACCCAAGAAGGGTAAAACAAATGAATGTCTACTGTTCACAGACTGAAAATACAATCTGCCATGTGTTTACTTTTACAAAATAGAGAATTATGTTTTACAGTTTCATTTCTTTACAGTATGAAACACAGACTGAAAATACAATCTCCCATGTGTTTACTTTTACAAAACAGAGAATTATGTTTTACAGTTTCATTTCTTTACAGTATGAAACACAGACTGAAAATACAATCTGCCATGTGTTTACTTTTACAAAACAGAGAATTATGTTTTACAGTTTCACTTCTTTACAGTATGAAACACAGACTGAAAATACAATCTGCCATGTGTTTACTTTTACAAAATAGAGAATTATGTTTTACAGTTTCACTTCTTTACAGTATGAAACACAGACTGAAAATACAATCTCCCATGTGTTTA